TTTAAACAGGCACCTACTTCCCATACCTAAAGAACTGGACTCAAGAAAGAGGTTGCTACTTCTGAAAGTAACCTCCAAAATGCATTGACTTGGAATAAAAGCATATCATCCATAATAGTGAGAATAGATTTCTACTAGATTTAAATTAAGCCAGTTCAAATTCTGAATACAACATTTTCCATAACAAAATGTATTACTTTCATTTTTCAGTGTTTGCTGCTGACCATAGTTCTTTTAGCTAAGTTATTTGAGTTTTCTGAATAGGTGAGCTGTTGAGTGCATTAGGGCAGAGCCTTCAGAACCACGGTGGAGGTGTGAATGAGCAAGGCATGGCATCTGTGATGTTTGGGGGCCTGTGTCTTGATCGCACAGATAAGGAGGAGCTGCTTTGCTGTTTCAGCCTTCAAGAGTTTCTGAGGCTCCTCTCTTTCAATTCTATCCCTTTCCTCAATGAAGGGTTTTCTTCATCTCTCTATGCTGATCTAAGTTACTCAAATGAGAGCAGGGTGTGTATAGCAACCTATAAGGAAGAAAGATTCATATGTTATACAATAGCAGACCAAGGCACAAATGAAATATTCTTCCTCAAATTCTATGAACTGATTATTTCCTAGCACACCATCTCTGGAATTTTCTTCTTATCACCCTGAGCCATGCTCTTGCCCTGTGTCCTCATGCCTGCAGCTCTCTGGCCTTGTCCCGGCATTGAGTTCGATGTCCCTTTTCCTCATTTACTTCAATGAACCTCAATGGCAGCGTTTCAGAAAACAAACTTTGGTGGGACACTCAGGAGAATAAAAGCAATTTGAAGACAGAATGTATTTGGAAAAGTTGAAGACAAATTTACTTGTATTACTTTAGAATTATCTAGGATTACAGAGCAATGTACCTCCATAATATGTTTTAATAGTCACTGTGACATCAGGATGGAAATCCTTTATTAGCCATTTTATAGGTAAAAACGAAAGATTGAAAACATAGCCAGCTTCCCTCAGATGACTATGAAATCTTATGAATACTGAATGGCCAAAGAGCATGGAACAATGCATATGAAAATAGACTGAAATGTTTATGAAAGATATTTATGAAAGATATTAAGACTTCTGTGTTTGAATATGCACATATAAAAATAAATCTAAAAGCATTTAAAATGATTGAGTAAGTTCATTTCTCAACAAAGGGATTGCGCTCCTGCAGGACGGTGTGCATTTTAACAAATGGATATGCCATTTAACCTTTCTTTTTTTAAAGTTTTTATTATTGTTTTGTGTGTGTGCCATCAAATCGGATCTGACTGGTACAGGAGGAGATTGTTCCTCCTTCCCCAGCAGAGTAAAATGGCCTTTCTTGATTATCTCCTTCTATTCCCAAAGTCTGGCCTGTGACTACTGCTTTATTTGGTTCTGGCTTTTTGCCCCAACCCCTAATGAGTTCTATTCTATTCCTGCTTGACATCTTTGTTAGGTCTTCG